TCAGTCGGAAGGGTTTCTCACCATATCTGAAGATCAGGTGCCTGTGCGTTTACTGGTACGTTATCGCTGTCCATGGCCGCCCCCTGGCCCACAGGCTGACCGCTAGGATGTTTGGAAAGAGAGGAGTGTGCGCCAGTCGAGGTGCAACCGACGATGATATTTAAGCAACACGGTCAATAGCGAGCACAGGTCGGTGCTTTGTTCATCTCGATTGCTAGCGCTTAGACCACCACTCATCCGCGTGCAACTGCTGACGGGCACCAAGATGCATTGTGTAGTGATATAGTGTACAGAATATGTGACTCATTAAACCCAGATGACTACAACATGTGCTCCGATATCCAACCTCAGCACTCAGCAACTGACGACCTCCTGAACGACCTCCTGGAAGATACGCCGGGCATCTTCAAACGACGTCGACTCGTCCGCACGCGATCCTCGCCTTGCCGTCCGCCACAGCCCCCAAATACCTCGGATACTGTCCCGCAGCGCCTCCATATCCATTCGCGCGCCCTCACTGCTGCTCTCAGTCGCACTATCTTCAAGCTCGATAGAGGCTTTCGTCTCACTGTGACCCGTCGACCCGTCTGAAGCCTTCCAGGCACCTCGGTCCACATCTACTGAAGCGGGCACCAGAAACTCCCCAGATCTCGTAAAGGGGACGAATAGAGATTCCTCAATCTCGTCGCTGCCACTGCTACCCCCAACAGTGGGTGAGCCCATTTCTGACTCAACCATCTCTGCTTCTTTAAATCGGACTGGGCTGGGCGAACCACTGGATCGAGCCGACACAGCTGCAAGACGTTGTGCCAGCGCACGCGGCGAAGCCGGGTCCCATCTTGAGCTCAAGTTAGGATGTCTGATGACCGAAGGAGGAATGGGAAGAGCGTCGTCGCTCGAATCATTGAAACCTGAGCGGACGGGAACAGGCAGAGGCCCCGGTGAGTGTGTGTCACCGTCGACAAATTCCGAGTAAATCGGTTGCAATCGACGCTTCGGCTGAGGCGGAGGCGAGGGCTGAGTAGAGTCAGCCGTACCTGTACGAAGGAAGCATACATTCCAAGAAAAACCGTCAATAGCCGTGGCGACTTCGTGGATAATAAACACGAAGGAAACTGACCATGTACGGACGCATAGCGGGCCCAATACGCATCTTCCGCTCCCGTCTCCGTACCTTTCACCGACGCAGACAAGTCCTTATTAAACAAAGCACTGTCGTCTTGGGAGCCGTACGCATTCCAATAATCGTCGTCGTCGTCGCTCCCATCGAGCCCATCATGATCGTATTCGTGATCAATAAGATGTACCATTGGCAAAATACGTTCGGAATCGTGATTAGACCGCTCAGACATGGTGGCATCTTGAAGATTAGCGCGACTACCTAAGGGGAAAGGCATCAAGGCAGTATCGTGGTACTTCCAGCCATTGTCTTCATCCCATTCGAACACCAATCTGACACCATCTTCGCTCCCGGGCGACAGACCAACATGTGCGTATGTCTGTTCGTCATCTGAAACATACTGGACGAGATATGTCGCAGGTTCATCGTCATCCAGAGGCCGGGGTAGGTTCTCCAGCAACTCGATGACGCGTCCACGCTGGTCTTCTGATGAAGGCCAGCATAGATAATCTACAGGATTGTCAGGGAGGAGCTGCAAAAAATGATGCCTCTGCAGTAGTGACTTGGATAGCAAGTGCGGCGGAAGAGGTTGAGTTAGCTGGGAGGGTGGTGCGATGTATTGGAGGACGACGTAGACGACACCAGGAGAGAGTGGAGAAGGGGACATCGGGGTAGACAGCAGACAGGGACGGCACAGAATTTACGTCCAATGACTTGAGGCATATATATCAGAACGCTAGAAGAGAACGCGGCTGTGATGAGGAGAGCGACCCGCGAGTCTACTTAGCGCCAGGACTGGGCTGTCGAGACACGTGACTTGCATCCATTTTTGTCTCCGGCAAGTTCCTCCTGCATGCGATGCTGCAGCCCGTCGCCAGTGCCAGTATTCCGACGGCCATCTCACTGCTCAGCTCAGCGACCCACTTCGAGTCATATTCTTCCTCTCCTCTAGACGGTATCGGCGTCGAACGTAGCCAACATGCGAGCCACTCGTCTCTTTGCTTGTCTTCTGTTGCCAGTACTGGCCGTCGCTCAGAACGTGAGTCGTAGTCCGTCTATGTCTATTTCCTCGCCTTGACATGGCCTGCTTTCTCCATCCTCCCGGCAACAGCAAACGTCCTCCCAACAGTCATCGCAACAATCTTCTCAGCAGTCGTCGCAGCAGCAGACCCCTTCCCTTTCCTTATCCGTTACAGTCGTTACGACAATCGTCCCGTCCACCGAGTACAATGTCGGTGATGTTGTCACGGATGGCAAGACAGTGACAAGTTCATTCCCCCATGTCATCAGTGTCACAGCAACGGAAACAATTACCCACACGCTAGGCGGCTCTACCAATCAGGGTAATCAGGCTGCTAAAACGACTTCCACGTCGATGCCTCCTGCATCCACTGCACCCACCAGTATTTACGGAGGAGGAAACGAGGCACCCAACGGGGCGCCAAGTCCAGGAGAGACCGGTGCGAATGGGATCTATGGCCCAAGTAACACATACGTCGCTGCGGCGTTTTCTACACGAGCGCATGCAGCCCTCACAATGATAGCGGGTTTGGTCATAGGGAGTGCGCTAGTATTGGCCTGCTAGGTGGGGGCGCATGTGGACTGGTTTCGATTGGTTGACTGTGTTGGGGGACTTTCTGCTTATCATGGACATTGTAGCAGGACAGCGACGGACTAGATACTTACTCGCAGACTTTAGGCATAGCGTAGTGTAGACCGACAGGACTTGGGAGCGCGTAGCATTCATTGATTCTCGCGTTCCTTTTTACTTTGCATGTACCTCATAATGGATTCGTACGCTCCTTACGACGACTATCCGAGTCCGCGCTGTTTTCACGGGGATCGGCATGCAGCGAAGGGCCTTCCACATTCTGCAATACGTCAAGCTTGCCCCTCGATTTCTCCAGAACTGCTCTCATCTCTGCCAGGTTCGTATATACAGACATCAGATTGGCATCAGGAGCGTGCAGCGGCCTATCATGTCGTCCTCGCTCGAAGGCGCGCTAGATCCCCCCACAAAAAAGCTCAAGACAGAAGAGGACCGTAAGGTCGGTGCATTGCTGCACTTCCCCTCGTCCCTTGTCCGGTGATATACGACTGATGACTCCTCAGGTTATTGGCACCCATAATGGGACCTTTCACTGCGATGAAGCTCTTGCGGTATTCCTTCTCAAGAGAACAAAGCTGTATGGGAATGCAGGTCGGATAGTCCCGCAAGAGTCTGGTCTTTGTACTGACTCTCTACTTGCAGACGTAACACGAACCCGAGAACCCGCGGTCCTCGAGTCCTGTTCAATCGTAGTCGACGTTGGAGGAGTCTACGACGAGGGCAAGCAGCGGTTCGATCATCACCAGCGGGGCTTTGTCGAGGTCTTTGGGCACGGATTCGTCACAAAGCTATCTTCCGCAGGATTGGTGTACAAGTACGAGCATTTCCTATCTGATTTCGAACCTGTCCATACTTACAGTTTCATAGGCACTTTGGCAAGGAAATCATCGCGAACAGACTGCACACAGCCCCTGATGATGCGAAGGTGGAGACGTTATGGCTCAAGGTGTACAAAGAATTTATCGAAGCCATTGATGGGATCGACAATGGTGTATCCCAGTACCCCAAAGATGCGAAGCAGCTATATCGCGTCCGAACCGATGTCTCCAGCCGAGTGGGGCACCTCAACCCGGCCTGGAATGAGCCTTTCGATTCTCAAACTGTCGATGTTAGCATGTTCCTCCAACGTTCGAATACGACTAAGGCTGATGTGAGAGCACAGGCAAGGTTCCTCCAAGCGTCCTCACTGGTTGGCGAAGAGTTCCTGTCGAGGCTAGACTATTACTCAAATGCCTGGCTGCCTGCACGCAATCTTGTGGCTGAAGCATTGAAGCGTAGAGATGTAGCTGATGCTTCAGGGAAGATAATTGTATTTGAACAATTCTTACCGTGGAAGGTCCGCTTCAATTCCATCGGCCTCTTCAGCTACGCTGAACTTGATTCCTCGACCACCAGGAACATCTTTTTGACCTAGAAACCGAACTACAGATTTCAGACCCGTCGCAGCCGATATATGTTCTATATCCGGATGAGAGTGGCAACAACTGGCGTGTTCAAGCGGTGCCCATCGCCCCTGACAGCTTTGAAAGCCGGAAAGCACTTCCTGAAGCGTGGAGAGGGCTGAGAGACAATGAATTGTCGCAGGTTTCGGGTGTCGATGGCGGTATATTCGTGCACGCCAGCGGGTTCATTGGTGGTGAGTGAATGTCGCTTATGAGAAGAGCAAAGCAACGACGCATATATATCTAGGCAATAAAACAAGGGAAGGTGCACTACAAATGGCAAAGCTTGCTCTTGAAATGTAATTAATAGAAGATCAATGTGGCGAGTGATCACTCAACGCATTTACCTACCTAGTGCAGAATCTCAGGCAGAGCGACTACTTAACTGACCGGGTTTCGCGTGCAAGCTCGATGTCGTTGCTCTTTGATTGGCGAGTGCCTATCAGTTCGCTATCACCAGCTTGACATCACGAAGCAGAGAGGAAGCAGTAACTTGTCTCTGTACACATGTTTACCTCATGTTTGCCATGATGCAACTCGCATGTATCCCGAATGTACTGGAGACTCGTTCCAACACTCGCCAACCTTTCTCCCCCTCGATATCTGCTCCCCTGGCTTCAGAAACGACACTCCCTATCCCGCCCCTCTATCCCTCGCCTAGCGCAACTAAGATGAGGCTTAGGCGCTCTCCACCGCGGTCGACATCTCATCCGTACTTGTTCACCCTAATGACTCTGACAGCCATGGCTGAGCTAGGACTCACCGCCTTCCTCATCAGCGCTGGGAAGGAGATTCATACGTGGGCCAGCCCAGGATACTATCCGCTGTCCGTAGCTTCCCGAGCAGTCGTACCGCAGTTACGCTGATGCACCTTATTTCGTCCGACACGACAGTCTAGTTCTCCTCTGCTTTGAGGCTGCATGGACGGTCCTCTTCGCGGGAGCATATATATTGTGGGTTGTGGACGGCGCGGTCCACCTGCTGGCCAACGTTGCAAGTTCAGTCATTTGGCTCCTTCTCACCTCAGTCCTCTGGGTATGTCGGAGCGAATGCTCAAAGATGCATGAATTAATGCGTGATGCTTACCTGTGGCAGGGTGCGGCTGCTGGACTGATGCATAGTTCGCGCACCAGTGGGAGCTGCCCCGACCGCACATCGCTTTCGCGGTTCGTCCCCGAAAGGGTTCCATCTCGCCCACCATATGAGCTGAGCGTATCACCTTCAAGCAGGTGCCGTCAGACCCTGACAGTAGAGGCGCTCGGCTGGACCGAGTTCGCGCTCTGTTGCCTTACCTTGGGCGCGACCCTTGTGTGGCTACGAACTGGCTGGGTAAAGCGAGGCTACGTTCGGGATTCACGGACGTACGTTTAGATAGACCCAGCCGACTGTTTTGCGTTCGAATCGTTCGAATCATGTTGATAACGACCTTTGTACCATTTCACTGTGTGCATCTCTCATTCTCATGATGATTATTGATATAGCTTGTCCCAGATGTGTCTTGTTTTGACTAGATGTCAAATTAGATTTGATGAACTATTGCATACGAACATGAGTGTGGTATGGAAGAGTCTATCGCAGCTTAAGCAAAAGAACTAAGCACAGGCACATGTCACCGGAATGTGGAGCCCTGTGTGTCGGAGGGGGAGGAAGTATGCGGTCTAGTGCAATGTGCACTCACTGAATGGAGATGTTTGATACATCGTAATACATTTGAGGAACAGCACAGGGAACTAATACCGGTGGTGCACTAGCAAGAAAAAGATATCACCGTGTAGAACCAATCCGAGCTCGAGTGTTTGGCACTCATTCGGTCCATGATCCGCTGAAGAAAGCACATATAGCTAGGCATGCCAAATGCAGAACGACCGCGTTGCAACCTTGGAGAGTGCTGGACTAGTATACACCGTGCTGGATACCAGTGGTCCGCTGGTCTTCTAGCGCAACCTGTGCAATATGCATGTCAAAAGTTTGAATCATCGACCATCAGCTTTCGCAAAAATCGAGCGCAAGGTGCTGGATGTTCGGGACACATCCTCACCACACTCTGGGGCACATCCTCACACAGTGCCGTACGGCTTCTATCTGCCATTGACCATGCCACAACACCGTGTTTCAGAGCTTGAGAGTCCCGGAGCAAGAGTGTCTCGTAGAACAGAATTCTCAAGGAACACCAGCGAAGATGGTCATGGAAGCGCAGGATGAACGGCTGCAATCCGCAGTACAGTAGATGATACTGAATGCGAGATGGCCACCTCGGAAAATAAATCACTGACTCTAGTAGCCCAAGCCGCTGTGATAGCAAATATGTGCACCAGCGGAGAATGAGTGGGTGAACCAATTGAATACTCACGATGCCGTCTTCGAAATTCGATTGAAGTCGCTACTCGGCTTTGAAAACGTCGTCTGAAACCCATTCTACTATTAGATATACTGAACCACTCGGACAGGCAAATAATTTGGACATAACAGAACTGAGAGCGCTGAGCGGGCTTGATGCAAGCTCGACTCGAAGGTGACGAAGACCAAGTTCGGGCGCCCGCCAAGAATTTTCGCTCATCATCCAGACGGCCTCAAGGTCGTGCATCTTGTTCGTGCTCCCGTCATCTTGAGAAGGTGAAGTGGAACATTGAGGCGACGGTCACCTTGCCTTGAGCGAAATCGCCTGTAGCGACCGCGCGGTAGAAGTTGTGGCAGTGGATGGAGTAGGCGAAGGGCGTGCTCGAGTTCTGTTAAATTGCCGGTAAGTAGTCACACATTTGCACGAAGATATTACAGAAGATCGTCGCTCACGCCTGCCGCGAGCTGGCGTTGGTCTTATTACTATCCAAGACAGAGCACGGCGGCCTCAGACACCCCATCATGTCCCGTATCCTGAGGCGCCCCTCCGCTTCATCTGACCCGACGGACGACCTCACACCAGCACAGAAGCGCATGTACGCTTCTGAGAAGCTCACGAACTTCCGAACTATCGCGAAACTGTGCGCAACGCAGTCCACTTACACCCTGACTTCCCTCGATCTCGCGTCTGCCGACTTGTACGTCCGGCTTGCAGAATTCAAACAGTTTGTCATGATGTCGTCTTGCGCTCTTTCGCCGCAAATCGTGTACGCGAACCTTGGGATACTGATGCAATCCAAGTTTCCGCTTGAAGGATTCGACGCGATACCGGGCACAAGCCTTGTGGATGCTTTCCTTGGCACCGTTGCGGACGTCCCCGGCATAGTCGTCTATCGTGGGCACATTGAGCAGCTCGTAGTCGGGTTCTCGTCCACCGCTACCATCAAGCAGGCGCTGTACGACATGTATGCAATCAAACAGCCATATCTTTACGAAAAGGGCCCTTGCATACATGCAGGGTTCTGGAAAATGTATGAGGGCTGCCGATCAGAGGTACTCCGTATTGTCCATAGGAGCCTCCAAAGACATCGTGTGCGGGAGCTAGCCATTGTAGGGCACAGCATGGGGGGTGCCCTGAGCTACTTATTCGCTCTGGACGTATTGTCAGGGCGATGTGCCCTACCATCGGGAACAGTACTGACAGTAGCTACTTTTGGCTGCCCCAGAATCGGAGACGCCGCTCTATCAGACTATTGGCAAGATTTGGTGAATGCGTACCAGGCCACAAATGGGAAAGGTTCCGTGAAGGAGTACTGCGTGAAGACCTTGAATGACGGTAACAGTCACAGTACAACCGGGACGAGCGATCGGCACTGACCACAAGTGCACTTTGAACAGGAGTTCCCTCGCTCCCGTCGGTCAGCTGGGGGTATAAACATCTCACGCGGACGCCGTTGTACTTCCATCATGGCCGCCTGTTCAATGTGCCTTCTTCAGAATGCGAACACGGCGTGTTTTCCGTTGCGGATGATGCATTGGACCGGACACGAAGACCGGAGCACCCGAGAGGGGGACATAATTATTACAACGGGGTGGACGCGGAGAGGGTGATCCGACGGATATATTGGATGGCCAAATTGTCGAAAGGCACGACTGGCTGGGAAGAGGCGTACTTGGCCAAGATTACTGAGATTGAACAAGCGTGGCAAGAGGACGGGGGTGTTGCGCCGCGAGATGTGATATAGAAAGAGCATGGAAGTATGTATTGTCGGACTATGTTGGGCGTGAGCGTGACCGCCGTCTGTGTTTCATGAATGAGCTGGTGGAGTGGTTGTGTCGAATGTAGAGACGACGATTAGGAGCAGCACAGACGAGCCGAGCCGAAGGCCGAAGGAGATAAGATGCTGAGTGGTAACTTATCTGATATGTAAGCGGGGCCGAGTCGGGCGACTCGGCTTATCTGATAAAAGGAGCTCCGCCATCTGCAGTCTCCCCAACATTTCTTGCCGCCGTCACATTCAGCCTTGCTCCCGGCCAGCCTCGCCTCGCCTCCCCTTCACCCTCACGACCTCCCTTATATTCTTCCCCCTTCCCTTTCCCCCTTCCTCGCCATCCAACATGTCCCGCATCTCCTCCGGCCGCACCCGCAATGTCGACCACCGTGTCACCTCCGAAGAGGAAACACTCACCTCCGACGATGACCTCGAGCCCTTGCGGCTCTTGCCAGCGGGTGGTCGTCCGTCCCCTGCCCGAGCCTACTTCATCCGGGCCCTCGCTCTCCTGTGTGCGTGCTCCCTTAGCGTAGGGAGCCATTAGTCAGTCTCCTCGCTCGTCGGCCGGAGCTATACTCACCCACTAGCAGTGCATCCTATATCCTGGGCCCGCTCAAGTCACGATTGTCACGAGAAATGGGCACGAATAACACTGAATTTTCCCTTCTCATTTCCGCATTCTCGCTCAACAGCACCTGGACACCGCTCGTGGGCGGTCTGCTCGCGAGCAGGTTCGGAACCACGACCACAAGTATCCTTGCCACCGGAGTGATCTTCCTCGGTTCGTGCCCCATCCTCCACGCTATCTCCGCTTACTCATCCCCGTCATAGGCCAAGCACTGCTTCTTTTTGGCAATCTTACCGACAGCATTCGCTTGATGACCTTCGGCATGTGGGTGTATGGTCTTGGTGTTAGCCCGCTCGCTGTTGTACAGGAGACGATCATCGTACGATTCTTCAAGTCCCATGGCCTCGGAGTTTCGCTCGCACTGGGCCTGGTTGCCGGTAAAGGTGCATCCTTCGTATCCGCTCGGACCTCTTATCCCCTCTCGGAACGCTTCGGCCCTCATGCCCCCTTCTATGCGTCGACCATCCTAACCGCTGCTTCGTTTCTCGTGAACATAATCTATGTCTGCGCATCAAAGTGGCTGGTCCGCGGCGCGGGCGCGGAATTAGAGGCTTCAGATCTGGAAGATGAGGCCCAGAACAATAGGCGCATCTGTTTGTCGGAAGCCGAGGCCATCAAGAAGGTAGCCAAAAAGCGCATGGTGTATTTGCGCGATATCACAAAACTAGGCGATGTATTTTGGGCGTAAGTTGGATTTCTTTGAGGATGCCTAAGTGTTGCTATAACGCTTCATCAGTTACATCGGGCTCAACATTCTTTGCGGGGCGATATGGGCCCCTTTCACTCACCTGGGCGCGTACGTGTATCTCCGTTGCGATAATTAGCAGAGGCTATTAATAACCAATATACAGCAACATTATGGAGAGACGATACAAATTAAGCGAAAGAGATGCAAGCGTCAAGGGCTCTTACTTGTTGGCAGGAAGTATTGTTCTCTATCCCATCGTGAGTTGCATGCTCGTTCGAAAATATGTCCCTCATCGACTATTCGCAGGTTGGATTCCTTGTAGATCGTGTCAAACATCGCGGATTTGTCATGTACCTACTTACCACATCTGCTGTCCTCACTCTCCTGTCGTATCTCTGGCTCGCCTTGCCCCCCGGATGGACTGGTACGGCGGTTCCTGCGATCGTGGCTTTCGCTAGCGGGCATGGATTCGCGCCTTGTAAGCATACTTCAGTATCTTAATGATTTCCATGAGCTCACCTTGTCATTTTCACAGTACTCCTAGTGGTGATTGTCCCCAGGCTCGTACCTGCCAAGTATGTTTCGACAACACTTGGCGCCCACAAGGCTTTGGAGCAAGTTGGTTCGACCGCATTCCAGACCTTGGCAGGAGTAGCTCTTGATATTACCCGCAAAAAGTCGGGAAACCCGAATACGCCACAGGTTGGCGACAAGAAAGACATTCAATACCTACTGAACGCTTTCCTATTCCTCAATGTACTCCAGCTTGCAGCGGTCGTTGGCCTTAATCGACTTGATCGCCGAGAGAGACGCAATGCTGCACAACGTACATTGCCATCGACCACTGAGGATGAGGTTGTCGTCACAAACCACACCAAGAACGGCCAGTCTCCCAAGTCTGAAGCTTCTCTTGGCGCTGGTATATGGCCGATCTCTCAGATCGGCGGTCCTGCACCGTTGTGCGACTTGGGAGATGCATGCTGTCGCGCATCTACCTCCGATGCCGCATTGAGTGTGCCTCTTCTACGAGACACCTCTCGCACACCATCTTACCTTATGTTCCCTCGCCCTCGACGCAGTGATTCCGTCTCATCGAAGGTGCCAAGATCGAGAGCCGTATTGCAGCGGGGGAGGGCGTTTGCGGCGCTGTCGGCGATGCTTATCGTCTTCGCGTGGGTCCTATTCCTGGGAACGGCATATTTGAAGTTGCGCTCGAAGGAGGAGAGGGGCAGCACGGGCATTTCTTTGATGACTTCATGAACTTGACGACTGTGAGAGTGACAGGATATTTCTGCTATCTATAGTTTATCTGTGTATCAATAGGCATCTCACTCATAGATATATCTAATTGCATTATCCATTTATAACATGTCAGTATAGTGCGAGGAGCCGAGGATGTGCATAAATAACTTAGCACTGCAGTATGTCATGAGATAGTTCAAATCAACTCTGAGACTCCTTGTAGAAGTGCTCGTGAGGCATATCATTGCAGCTCCTTATAGTATTGTTCTATGTACTATTCCTGACTTAGCGCGCCCATAGCTCGTCTCTCGAACACGAGGCCACTGGCCCACGAACTTGAAGTCAAGGTCAACACAAGATCAAAAATTGAGCTTCTCTGAGTTCTCCTCAGGGTTAAGAACAAATGCTTTGGGAAATGTGAATACGCTAGATTATCGAGGGGGAAATAAGATATTCGTCGCAACGGCACAGCGGATGCCGATGAACGCTGACGTGGGGGACGCTTCTCATGTCAACAGTACTGAACGGGAAAAGACCAACGTTTCTATTTGAAATAACGAGTCGCATAGGTCTTGTAGCCCTAACCCCATATCCAAGCCCTAACCCAGAAACATTCCCACGCACTCTGCACGAGCTTGGAGATATCGCCAATTCTCTGAGGATCATCAACAGCGCCGACACCCTCTCCAAGACCTCAAGCCTCAGCAGGTAAGCTCCCAATCTGCTCTTAGAAGGTACCTTGCCGTGCAATGGACGAGGATTCCTGCTCGAAAGACGATTTGAACAGGTAGAAAGTGATGGATTGAGTCGTCCATGGTTGGATGGTACCGAGGAATGCGGCAGGGTTTGGTGGGCAGAGCGCTGACTGCATTCTTTTTCCAAGCCCACAACATGGGTGCCTACAAGTATATCGGTGAGCTGTACAAAAAGAAGCAGTCGGATGTCCTTCGTTTCCTTCTCCGTGTGAGGTGAGCATGCTCTATTTCGCGACGACAGACGTCTTTTGACATGAACGACTTTGTGGAGGTGCTGGGAGTACCGCCAGCTGAACGTCATCCACCGTGCTTCCCGTCCTTCGCGTCCTGACAAGGCCCGCCGGTTGGGCTATAAGGCTAAGCAAGGCTATGTTATCTATCGCGTGCGAGTCCGCAGGGGTAATCGCAAGAAACACGTCCCCAAGGGTATGTTTCAGGCGGATTGTTGTACTCGTCTTGTTCTCATCCTCCTCCTGTACCCCGCGATACGTAGGTGCTACCTACGGCAAACCTGTTCGTCAAGGTGTCAACCACATCAAGCCGCAGCGTGGTTTGAGAAGCGTTGCGGAGGAGCGTGTTGGCAGGCGATGCGGAAACTTGCGTGTGCTTAACTCCTACTGGGTGAACCAGGACGGTGTTTACAAGTACTACGAGGTCATTCTCGTTGATCCCAATCACAAGGCCGTGCGTAATGACTTCTTACTGCGTGTGGTGTCGGCTCACCCGTAATTCGCAATGACAGATCCGTCGTGACGCCAGAATCAACTGGATCACGAAGCCCGTCCACAAGCGTCGCGAGACTCGTGGCCTTACCAGCATTGGCAAACAGGTTCGTTCAATCATCGTAAATGCCTATTTTCGTGGACCCTGATGTCCAATTGTTTGCCAGAATCGCGGACTGGGCAAGGGTAACCGCCACAACCATACTACGGGCTGGGCGACCTGGAAGAAGCACAACACGCTCAGCCTTCGTCGTTACCGGTGATTTACCGCTGTACTTTTGTCGTGTTATCTGTCCTACGTATCCAGTGTCCATGCCTTTCATGCTTGTTATGGATGTATGCCTTTGCAACCAAAACAGATGGTATCCGATCATGTTTCCTGATTCGGCTTCTTACGCTCGCCTGTCTCCACAACGTGTGCTTACCGCCTATGCGATCACTCCGGCTACCCCCTCCAGTCAGGGATGCTACGATATTCTGCTACCACCACTGAAGCGGAATAGACAGTGTTTGTTGGCCGGTGAAACCAGAAAGTGAAGTCAATGACACAACTCATGTTCTGACAATGACCTCGACGGGATTCCTGCTTTGCCGTCTGGGCGCTTCTCAATTGAGCAGCTGTTGCTGCGGGTCTCTATTCTTACCCTCTTCTTGCTTTCTAACTCCTGCCTCGTTCTGGGGCGTCGGAAGGTGTCTGAACTGCCGGCGTCACTGACAGCACGGAATAACAGAACACATGTTCTAGCCTGATCCTTGAAAATACATCGCATGCTCAGAGAATTCTCCGGCCATCCCTACTGCTTGTATCTCACATTGGATCGCGCAATTTCCAGCTCACGCTCATGTTCTCTGGATTGCCACTGACGCTTCTATCTCTGCTTGCCACTCACGTCGCCCGATACATTTCCCCTGCTGCTACGCATCCTAGAGTGATTGCTCTCTGGTTTCTGCTTCTGACCGGATTGGCGCACGCCGCGCACCTCGATACCCGGTCGTCTAGCACTGGTGTTCAGTCATACCCTAATGGGAGCACATTTGTCTGGACGGTAGAGGATACCTACAAAGGACCTGACTTCTTCAAGTGAGTGCCCGACCTACGTAATATCCAAATTCCCCGATTTGAAAACGTCGCTAGCTACTTTCATTTCTACACGGGCCCAGATCCCACAAAGTGCGTCGCGCCAGCTCTTCTGAATTTATGTAACGTCTGACCATTATTTAGTGGCCTGGTCAAGTATGTCGTGACTATTATTTGCGCTGTATAAACTTAAATATGTCCATTGCTCAGCTACACTGATCAGGAGACAGCCTTTGCGGACGGTCTAGCGTATGTGACTTCCGATAACATCGTTGTCATGAAGGGCGACAACACTACATGGCTAGCGGAGGGCGAGAATCGGAATAGGTATGTGCTCGTCATATTGATGCTCAGCTTTACGTTAACAGTGGCCGTCGTACAGTGTGCGTGTATCGAGCTACAAGCAATACAACACTGGTAAGCGTTTTCGGTACAAATTTATGGCTCTTTCTACAATTGCATTGCCTGACGCAGGTCTGTTTATTCTGGATCTCGATATGGCGCCTTGGGGTTGCGGTATGTTGGTGTAACAACAATGTGTACGATCGCTTGCTTAGGTGCTGCGTCTATAGCTGTGTGGCCTGCATGGTGGACGCTCGGTGGTGGCGAATGGCCATACGTACGTTCTTGTTTGTCTCTTTCTTGAGGAGATGACAACTGTTCGTCACACACAGACGGGAGAGATTGATATCATTGAAGGTGTTCACGACAATGAACACAATCAAGTGACGTGGCACACTGGTCCCAGTACGTATTGTATTTCATCATTTTCAAGAAATTCTCATCCCTCATGTCCGCCAGATTGTAATTTGACACAGAATGCCACTTTCACTGGTACCATCGTCGTACGTAGGATGTATGCTCATTGATCAGTAACCTATTCATATTTCATTAATAGGAGACGAACGGACAGCCCGATCTAGATTGCGACGGGAACACGAATAATAACGCTGGTTGTGGAGTTGTGGAATGGAGCCGTGCATCCTATGGTCCCATATTTGATCAGCAAGGAGGTGGAATATTTGCCATGATGTGGGATCTCTCGGGCATCGGTGTCTGTAAGTTCTACAAGACGCATGCATGGCGGAGACTCCAACCTTATCGTCTGTGCAGGGTCATTCTACCGTGCAGCCATCCCTCAGGATGTCCTAGATGGCCAGCCAACGCCCTCGACTTGGGGTGAACCCGTCGCATTTCTGGAACCAGCCGAATGCAATCCGTTAACGAACTTCATCAACCATTCTATCGTATTTGGTGAGGCTTGCTATTTTCCAGCACACATTACGCACACTTATGCTTTCGATCTTGTAGATATCACTTTCTGCGGTATGGATGATGTGTTTCCGGCATTGATACGATCTAATCCATTTTTCATTGTCTGGTTGTAGGGGATTGGGCTGGCAACTCTTACGCCACCTCCGGCTGTCCTGGGACGTGTCCAGAACGCTTGCTTGATCCGAGTAATTTTGATGTATGCGTCAACACTCCGTTTTTTTTCACTAATCCCACTGATTCTACTGCCGTCAGAATGCATCCTGGAGGATCAATACTCTGACTGTGTACAGACAACAAACTTTAGATGGAGAAGTTACTACTTCGGCTGGCCAGCGGAGGGAGTTACATTGGACACTTGCCTTGGGAGCTGCCATTATGGCCGGGTTAGCTCTGACATAAAGGGCACCCCCGGAGTTGCAGATTGCGGATCTACAGACTATATAATGACACAACGACTTTCTGCGATGCACGAGCTAAATCATGGAATATCTTTTTTGCATGATGACAGACAATGATTTACAATTATACCACATACCACGAACCTCACGTCATAACTTGAATTTCCACACCCTGTCTTCTACATTGCCATCGGATTGGAGATTGCACTCCTCACCCGGCTCGGCGAAACTCGCTCGGATCGGTGTCACACTGACCCACCCTTGTGCAATTGCCCACCCGTCGGAACCCACGGGTAAACTTGACAAGGGCGGATTGATGAGATTGGTCATGTCGGGGGCAAACCTGAATGATAATGTCCCTACGTTCCTCGAAATCGGGCGGTCAGAAGGAGCAACTGCACTGTCCGGGCTCTTGCCTCCGGAGTTGCCGTCAGACGAATCGGGCCCAGCGGGAGACATAGCTTCAGATGCGGATGCAGCAGCCTCTCGGGATATGTGCGCTTTGAAAAGTCGCCCATACGAATTCCGCCAGATCCGTGTCCAGCATATCTTCAGATTCTCTTCGCTAAGGAGACCGTGAATCATGGGGATGTTGATGTTGTACAGATCCACCTCGCCGTTGCGCAGGCCGCCTGCATCTTCACCCCAATTCTCCCAGAGGTGGTTGATAATCTTTGCACCGAGCCGGTGCGCAGGCTCGTGGAGAATTGTGGGTGTCGGATGAAGCACTGTGCCATACGAAAGGGCGACAGATCGCGTCTTGGATAAACTAGATGACAATGCAGCACCGATGGTGCCAGAAGATAATGCAAAAGCGGCTGTTATAGTGAACAAAATCAGGCCCTCTCTAGGAGATAGCTTGAAGTGGCTTACAAGAGCTGTTTCGACCGAGATTAGGGCCTGAAATCTAATACCAAGCAGCATTGGACTTCAGGAACGAGAAGATGAACGAGAAGAACATACAAGAATATCGATCTCCCCGCGATAGAGATTATGTAGGGCTATGTTGGCACAGGTAGCCGGTGTCTAAGTCTGTTGGTGAGAAAGGGATTTGCTTAAGGATGAGATGGTACAAACACCATCTAGTAGTATCCACTCCGCGATCTCTCCATCTCTCAAGCCCCTTGACTCTACAGATGTCTCGCCAAAACCGTCTGGTAAAATTATATCGTGACCGAAAACGCCCAGAGACGGAACACACTCACCATGATCTGTGGGGTAATAGTATCGACCATTTATGATGTCTTTGATCTGATATGCCTTGCCTAGATCATTCGGGATTGGAATGTGAGACTACCGACCAGCAGGTAAGCACGTTGGCCACGACGCACCGATCCATGATTTCTGGGAGCTAGGTATAACGACGCTCACATTCCAACCTCTCAAGAAGGTCAAGACAAACGTTAAAACACTGTAAGTGGCCGTTGACGTACCAAGGTCTCTGGTCAGGTGTCGGAAAAGGCCATAAATGTAAGGTGAATCAGGACCAGGAGGTCCGTCATCATTCTAGGTCCAGTGCTCAGCAATGAAAGGTCACTCGACGCAAGGGGAAACGGGTACTTGCGGTCAGAAGGACTCTTGGTGGCCGAGACTGAGACATGGAGAACGTCGCGGTTGGTACGCAGGAGGGTGAGAAATGATTCAGGAATGCCGCCGAGCGCCAACAAACGGTCTACCGCATGCTATAGCAAAACATCCTTGTCAGGTCCCTGCACGGGTACACCAGATATCGGACTAAAACGGGAAGTCCTGTCGGCTACGACGATAACGATGGTACATCGCTGTCGGACTGAGGGGTGCACGCGATGAGAGGCCCGCCGTCGACGACGAGCTCGAGAGTTTGGGATTGCCACCGATGGCAACGACTCCAGGGGCGGAATCACGTGGTGTGCAACAGCGCCAGAGCGAGCAGTGCGTTGGATGGCAACTTGGTCGTCGCGCAAGCTCCAGCTCTGAGCTTGAACTGGCTTCATCTACTCCTCCGTCTCCCGTCGGCACGCCTGCGACACACCCTCTATCACCGGCTCTTCAGCTCCTCTCCGCATCTCCCTGCTGGCCCCCTATTATAATGATTTCACGACCAAGCTCGGCATCATGAAAAACCCTCAGCTCGACCTTCCTGAGATCCCCTCGCTGCCGCCCCTTGAGCTCTCGACTTCGCCGTCCCCACCATCCAGTATTTTTCGCCACTCAAGAGATTCACTCTTCAGACGCTCATCGCCGTCTCCGCTCGCATCGCAGGTCACTTCTGCTCCTTCTCGGACCTCTCCAGGCGAGGATCCAAATGGAATCCCTGCAACCATTCTCAGCGAGGATTTGCTACACCCGCCGTCGCCCACCTCGGTGACGACCCCCTCCGCTCTCAGGAAATCTCTTTCTGTGGATTCTTTCGTCAAGTCCAAACAGTCTCCCATTGGCCAAGTAACACGAACCAGTCGAGGTCAAACTATGTCTTCCCACCGTATCCCGCCACAAGAGCTCCGACAGCGTGCTATCGCTCCATCACACCCCGTAGATCAGGCCTCTGGCTCGTCTCGTATATCCCTCCGGGAGCGCGATAAGCGTGTCGTGCCTCCGCCCCCACCCTCTTCACGAAGTCGGGCCACAAGTATCAGTACCAATGTCGATGAGCGTGAGGGCTCCTCATTTTTCGATGAATCCGACGTGGAGCGCTCGGAAAATATATCTAGACGCTCACGAAAAAGCAAAACCACTTCGCGCCAGTTTGTGTTGCCTCCGGGCGAGCTCGGTCTCCCATCGAGGCTACAAGCCATGAGTTCTTCTCCAAATATGAACTCAACTCCTCCGCCTGCGCCTATCGTCCCTGTTCGGAGCAGTAGTTTGAATCACAGGTCGGCAAAGAACAAGGCTTCTATGTCTGTTGATACCCATATACCCCCAGTAAGTCTCCTGTTACAACTCTTCTGAGCAATGATTGAGTCTCCTTGTATGTAGTCTCCACATTTATCTCAGCCTACCATCGCTGTAATAGGATCGGCAGGATGTGGCAAGTCGACCATTACACGCAAGGGGTTGAAGAACTACGAAATATCTGAATCCATCATGACGCATATTTTCCCCCAGGAGATGGATTTAGACTACAATGTAGCTCTCCCATGTGAGTAGACTTGTGCTGTGCCACTCATGCGTGACTGACTACGCGCGCAAAGGCACCTTCCTGAGATGGCGCCTTTCTTCTGGTCCCGATGCAACGAGTCGATCAGTTGAGGCCTCCATTCGGGTTGCGGAACTAGACATTGCTATTTTTAGGCGCGCTCGTAACGACGAAGAACTGTGGCAACAGGAGCAGTTGTTTGATGGCTTCATATTTTGCTATGATTCAACACGAGAAGATTCATTCGCCCAAATTGCGGACTGTCTTCGTAAGTTTTTCAACCGTGGGGCGTACTTTTGCTGATATCGTAAGCTTCTTGTACAGGTGATATTGCTTACATGAATTTGCCGACAGTAGTTGTGGCGTGTAAATCGGACCTGGAGTTTGAAAGACGTGTAGACCCAGGACGTGCCTTTGCAAACCTGCAGCAGTACGATGTTGGTCTCGTAGAAGTCACCGTCGCGAATCTTGATGGTCGAGATAAAATACGACGTGCGTTCGAGTGGCTTGTGAGAGCAATCAAGCATGACCTACGTAGGTGTTCTCTTTCACTAAGTTCCTCTTGCTCCTGGTATCTATTCAAAACGTCTTGGAACAGCGCGTAGTGATCGTGATGGATATCAGAACCCTGCCTCACCCTCCATGCTTGGGTCTGCACCGCCTTGGGATGTATCTCGTGCCTCGTCTGCCACACCTACCGCTGCGTCGGCGACATCCTATATACCACCTTCTCACTCAGCACATGCCCCACTGGAAACACAGACATACACTGACACACCTCCGCAATCCGAGTCACAGTTACAAATCAGTACCCCAATGCCTAATCATACATTCCGACTACCGTCTGTAAATACTGCTACGACATCACGAATCCCCTCAACGCCAACCTCCCCAACTCGCGCGCGCTCAACCAGCGACTTGCTCTCCGAACACGAGAAATCGAAACGTGAAGAGCGAGAGCAGTACTCAGTGGGACGTAGTGCGGCGCTGAGTTCGTCGAATGTACGGAGTCGTAGCTCGCTAAATGCCTTAGCATCAATAAGTGGGTCGGGAGATGGATTGCAGATCTCAGATGATCCTCATGAAGCAGCAAGAGAAGCGTCTGCTAGAGAGTCGTGAGTTATATTACTGATGGTATCATGCCGCCGTTAAGTGTGTCAACTAGACGTGTTCCTCCATGGCTGACGCTTGAAGAGCTTTTGAATAAAATGCTTTTCATGGCTGTGAGCGACGATGGTATGTCTACCACCGATCTTGCATAGTGTTTCGACCGTGCTGACTGGTATAGATCCACTATATGTGACGCATTTCCTCTTAACTTATCGACGATTTGCAACGCCCCGAAGCATCCTTCTTGCCATGCAGAAGCGAATTCGTGCATTAGATCAGCCTTCAGGCGATCCTATGTTCGCGTGTTACGCTCAGATGAGGCTAGTGGACATTTTTCATTTCGTGAAGTATTTCTCATGGATTAATGTATCATGATACAGGATATGTCTGCTACTCGACCAGTGGATCCATGCATACCCTAACGACTTTGCAGTGCCGAATACATCAGGTGCTCTCATAGCGCTAGTCAAGTCCGTTGTGACGAAGTCGCACCTTGTACACTATGGCACAGATTTTCTTCCTTTCTTAGATACATTGGCGGACCTCAAGGACCGTGACCAGACTTGGGCACTCAAGATTGAGGAAGAGAGTGATGACTCGTCGTGGCTATCCGAAGAAGATGGATATCGACCCATTGACACAGAATCTCCGGCCTCTAGTAACTCTTCTCGTCAGCCTCTTCACCGCAATTCAAGTGCCACACCTCCAGCTCAGCCGTCAATGACACGGGATCGTAAATCGAGCCTTCCTCTTACCGCCAAAGCGCTTGCGATGGGGCAAAGCATGCTTTCACCAACGAATTCAGATGGAACGGATCAGACTCCAAAGCAGGTTCTCAGACGGCTCGTTCAAGTGAGCGAAGAAGTACAGAAATGTGCCATTAAAGATATTGTAAACGAGATTACGCGCATTGAGGTCAAATTCTTCCTCGACATCAAGGTGTGATAATTTGACGGTACACAAGTGTCTTTGCAGAGATCTAGGTCATGCAAGCTAGCCAATGAGAAGCTGAAGAATGCGGAAAGTTTCGCGCTGATTGGCTGGCTAGTGACCTAGATTGCTGCAAATACATTGTAATGCTGGTATTTGTAGAGTGATCGCTCTGGCTGATATGTATTAATTGAAGCCTCGGCATTGGTTGCAACACGTGCTTGCCCAGGGCAAGAAGGACCCAGAGACGGATCCGATTGCGAAGTATAATCACGTTTCCAATCATATAGCCGACTGGTATGTGTCACTTCTCCGACAGTGAATAGCGTGGTTTATACCTGAATCAAGGGTCGTTTCGCTCATTTTATGCCACGATAAAGCGAAGGCACGAGCTCGACAAATAGAAAAGTTTGTGCAGGTAGCCCACGAACTACGGGTCATACACAACTATTCTGCTTTGCGCGCGGTTATTGCCGGTATCAACAGTGCGACGTTTGAAGGAGACGAGTCTCTAGATATTGTCCGGGGTCGCTCGCAGGAGACATGGAAAATTTTCCAATCTTACGATCAACTTCTGCGAGCCGTGCGATCACATCAGAAGTATCGCATGGCTCTCAAGAACACCAAGGGTCCTTGCATACCAGCATTGTAAGTATCCACCCGCTGAGTGACGACAACAGCTTAACGTCGGTTTCTGTGCAGAGAGATCCACCTCTCTGATCTTATACGCGCGCACGAAGGCAACACGGATTATCACGATGAGGATCCCACCAAGATACATTGGGCCAAGTTCAATATGATGGCTAGGTTTATCGACGTCATCTGCCAGTGCCAGGAGAGATGTCGCACTCATGACGAACCTGCGTATATGTCCGATGACCTTAGACCACCACCGGAATACTTGCTCTTCAAGAATGCACATATGCTTATGGATATTGATGTGCGTAGTTTTGTTAGTGAAAGCACGTTTCATTGAGCTGACATGCACCGTTGCCCCCATTAGATGCAACGTTCTCGTATAGCGCCTCCGGAATCAGATGTGGCTGGTGATACCTTCAGACCTATCATTCCGCGGACATATTCTAGGGACCCACATCAGCCAAGAGACCCTGCATATCTACGCAAGATTGCATTCTGGTAAATCGTATCTACTCAGTCGCTGTCTGCTCCCTAGTTGCTGGCTTGCTTTCATCGTGCTGTATCTATTGTACTTACTTGGATTTGTACTCATTATCGTCGAAGATGCTATGCTTGTTTTGGTTGGTGCTACTTTAGAACCCACCGTCAAAGCCTCAATTGACGTAATGGTGACTCGAATACTCAAGAACCACAGCTTTGAAGAGCAAGCAAGCGCGTCAATTACGACACCACTATCTACCACGCATTAGTGGATTCAAAGTGCAAGTTCCATTATCATTTTCTCAGCTGAACGTTACGATGGATATCCTCCCGCTCGCTCTTCGATTGCCATCAAGATGTAGCACGGCGTATCGCTCTCTCTACGACTTGTGGTTGCGACTTTGCCGTGCGCTTTTAGGTGTGTCGGGAGTAGCGGCGCGATCGAATCTGCAAGCTGATCTTCGCTATACTCCCGTGTTCGGCCAGTCTCGTTGGCTATGTGATATGGTATCCGGCCCGTAAAGCGACGATAATCAGATTTCTTTCTTTCGCTCGCAATCCTTGCATTATGCGTACCGGCTTCACTGATGTAGATGTTAACCAGCGCTCCCACAGATCGGCGATGCGTCTCTCAACAGAAGGATGGGTTCAGAAGAGAAAGAGTTGTAGAAGTGTACCTATGCTCGTGTGCTGAATGTATATCTCAGTGCCATTTGGACGAGTTGGAACTTGTTGGTACCGCCGCTGCGCGATCGACGATCGGACAATAATCACGTGCATGGATCTCAGATCACTTAGTCTTGAATTTTCGACTGCGAACTTGGCTCTACGACTACTCAGACTGCCTGCCTCTCCTCTGACTTGTACTTTCCGCTGCTCACGTCGCTGGTTTGCCATGTCTCGGGTAGACGACTTTGTAATGACTCTCGACTCCGACGTCGAGGACGACTCACTTCCCCCCTCAAAACCCGGCAAGCCTTCTCAGTCTTCGAATGCGGAAGATGCGCTCCTCAACCCCGACTTTATCTTTGACGTGTCGGGAGATCCATACACAGACTTTATAGACGACCATGTAGATTTGAAGGACCTTGTCAAGAGCGGATCTAAGCCCGTACGCTTCCCTCGCGTCCGTGCTTTATGGATATAGGCGGCTCATCGTTTGAAGGAACCGTTGTCTGTAGATGATATTATAGAAAGACGAAAGCTCAAATCGCACGCCAGAAAACGCCAAAGATCTGTAGCAGAGGATGAAGAAATCGACAACTCTGACTCATCCAGCCAAGCAGGACAGAATGACGAGGACAGTGACGAAGAGGACACCTTCGCCAACCCTGTGGAGAGTGGGGAGGAAGAAGATCCTTTGGCGACGTCAGACGAGGAGGATTTGAGTGAAGGCGGTGTAGGAGAGGAGGAATCTGATGAAGATGCTTCTTCGTCCTCTGACGAGTCTGAAGAAGAAACCAAAGCTGAGAAGGAACGAAAAGCTGCATTCTTTGCCTCGGATTCAGCTGCTTCCGAAGAGCATACCTCATTCCTCTCCATGAATCTATCAAGACCGATTATCAAGTCGATCACAGCGCTTGGTTTCAACAAGCCTACACCCATCCAAGCCGCGACCATTCCTGTCGCTTTGCTCGGTAAAGACATCGTCGGAAATGCTGTCACAGGATCAGGAAAGACGGCAGCCTTCATCATTCCTATGCTAGAGCGACTGCTATACCGCGACCGGGGCAAGAAGGCTGCAGCCACAAGATGCCTTGTCCTCGTACCGACTAGGGAGCTAGGAGTGCAGTGTTTCGAAGTTGGTACTAAACTAGCTGCTCATACAGATATTCGATTCAGTCTCGTTGTTGGTGCGTTTGCCTATCACATCTGTCTTCATGAATCTTATCGCTTTTACCAGGGGGCCTTTCTGTGAAAACCCAGGAAGCAACTCTTCGTACTCGTCCGGATGTCGTCATCGCTACTCCAGGGCGGTTGATTGACCATCTCCGAAATTCTCCAGCCTTTACTCTAGATGCACTCGATATACTCGTTCTAGATGAGGCTGACAGGATGCTGTCAGATGGGTTTGCAGACGAACTGACCGAGATCATCAAGTCATGTCCTATGTCGCGTCAGACGATGTTATTCTCAGCAACAATGACGGATTCGGTGGACGAACTTGTGAGGATGTCACTCGACAAACCTGTACGTCTGTTTGTGGATCCCAAGCGAAGCACGGCCAGTGGGTTGGTGCAAGAATTTGTACGAGTCCGAGCCGGAAAGGAAAGCGAGCGTTCAGCATTGCTTGTCACGCTCTGTAAGAGAACGTTCAAGTCAAGAGCCATCATTTTCTTCCGTAGCAAAAAACTTGCACATCAGATGCGCATAGTGTTCAGACTGTTGGACATGAAGGCTGACGAATTGCACGGCGATCTGAGCCAGGAGCAGGTTAGCCCGTTCATGGAGTCGTGGTCGTTGCGCTTACACTGTTGATTGCAGCGATTGAAAGCCTTGCAGCAGTTCAGGGATGGAGCAGTTGACTTTCTCATGGCAACAGATTTAGCGTCGCGTGGTCTGGATATCAAGGGTATTGAGACAGTGATCAACTATGACATGCCCTCTCAACTCGCTCAATACCTTCACCGGGTTGGGCGAACAGCCCGTGCAGGCAAGAAAGGCCGGTAAGCATTAGTGATGCAGCGGTGGTACGAGTATGTTATCCTTATCGTCTGGAATGTTTAGTTCCGTTACACTCGTCGGCGAAGCGGATCGCAAGATGCTCAAGGCTTCAATCAAACATGCCATGGCTGAGGATTCGGTCCGACATCGTCAAATTCCACCAGAAGCGGTTGCCAAGTGGTCTGCCAAACTCGATGACATGAAGAAAGAAATTGCTGAAGTGCTTCAAGAAGAGAAAGAAGAAAAACAGGTACGATTCCTATCACGCACTGCATATTCCTGATGGGTTGCTGATTTAGTATATACAGCTTCGTCAGGCAGAAATGGAGGTGAAAAAGGGACAAAACATGATTGAGCATGAAGCGGAGATATTCTCACGTCCGGCCAGGACATGGTTCCAAACTGGTAAGGAAAAAGCGAAGGCTGAAGGTTGGTTCTTCTACTCGCGCAGCCAATCCACTGCTCAGAACCATCGTAGCCTTGAGCAAGGAGCAATATGAGACTGGTACTCATTCCACAAAGAAGGGCAAAGAGAAGGCACCTGAAGACAAGGTGAGACGTTGCGCTGAGCCATATGCGGAAAGATCACTAATTGACCTGTGTTAAAGCCTAAGAGAGAGAAATACGCTGGACTGTCAAGAAAAGCAAAACGTCGAAAGATGGCTATGGAGGAGGACGACGCGGCGGGAGAAAGCGGCGCCATTCGTGCGGCCGTTCGTTCAGCAAAAAAGGCAGCTAGACCTGCGAAGATCGGGCAGCCGGAGAGGCGAGACGTATCCCTGAACAAAAAGAAAGAAAAAGCGAAGGAAAGAAAAAAGAGAGGCAAGGCTTCCATGCGGATTGGCGGTGCGTTTGAGAAAGATTTCGGACAACGCGCTGTCAAGGAGGGTGTGCGGTCAAAGAAAGGAGATGCTATCGGTGGAATGAAAAAGAAAGGTGCCAAGCGGAAAGTGAAGTAGATGATTGTCTGACTCTGATTTCATTGCGGGCCCTATCGAGAAATGTGACAATCAGTGTGCGGAGGTGTGACACCACAACGCGTGACGCGACGCGACGCGAGTGTTCAAACACGATCCACATTTTGAAATCTGACTTCCCTACTGGCATTTTACCATTCGACCCTCCGCTCACTATCACCATCCGTCGTCGCACTGACTTGACCCGATCCAATTTGCTTACCACTACTGGATCTACCATTGCAATTGTTCCTTGTACCGTTCACAGGACGACTTGTGCCAGGCTCGATATCCGTCTTGTGCATCTCATGCGTTAAATTCCAGAAAGTAAAAGCTTTCTCTGAGAGATTTCTGTGATCTATGTCTTCCAACCCGTTCATCCCCCTGGCGACAATTCAGCTGCCCTCGCCTGCTCGTCTACTTCCGTCTTCATGGTGTCCGGACAAAGACTTGCTAGTGGTTATCACCCAACTTGGCGGGAAGGACAGGCTCAGCCTGTGGAAAATGCAAGGGTCTAAGAAATGGGAAGTAGGATTTGACTCTGACATTACTACTGCTACGGATGAAATAGTCGGCATCGCCTGGAGTCCAGATGGTACGAAGGCTTTTTATTCCATGAATTCCGCGGCTCTGAAATCGCGTAGGCCAGTCTATCGCCGCCGCTCACAACCCTCCTAGAATAACAATACATTCGATACAGGATGGCCACGAAGAGCGGTCTCTACCTGTTTCCCGCACTTTCATGTCCGGTCAGAAAGGGGCCGCGCCCCTTGTTGATGTCTGGTGGGCCGCCCAGGTAAAGAAACCTGTGAATAGTATCATTCCGGACATATTCAGAAGAGGAGACAATATTGTAATCACATTCCGTAGACATCCACCTTATTTCATTGACAAAGATGACCAAGACAGGTTCAGCCCACTCAATGCTCAAGAGCCTCCCTCTCCTAGATTCTCTGCATGATGAGTCTGCGCCGCTGACGTAGGTAGTATCATTGTGAAGTCGCGCTACGGAAGCCTGACATCGATGGCAGCGCCGCCGATCTCTTTGCCTTCCAAGGAAAGCAAACCCGCCCGGCGATCTCATCTCTACCGCCACTGATATCGTCGTGGCCAACACTACCCAGCGACCTACTGTCTGCATCCATTCAACCGCCTAAGTTAGGTGGTAATCGAATGCGGCCAGGAGAAGATTTGGACGAAGCAGACGACGCAAACGTTGACAGTCTTCTGATAACTTCTGATAACTCTGGGTATATCTACTGTTACCTTGACGGCACTTACTCCCTTGGAGCAATTCGGGTGGGAGGTGGTTCATTCATGACGTCGTTTTACAAAGACAGGGAGCTACTCTTCGCGCATTCTCGGTACTTCCGACCTCCTAATGCCCCGTTGACAAGCCTCCGGGCGTTTGAAATCCATCTGCCCTATCTCCAGCGACATACAGTGCGAGATGTTGCAAGGGTGTCTTCGTCCGTCCGCGAGTTGGTATGGTATCTCATGCGCGTGATCAGGGACATGCGTGCCTCTTGGTTCGCCTCTGAAACTCACAGCGGGGCTCGCGAACTTGGTCCGAGGTGGGTTCAGGAATTCGAGGCAAGACAGAAGGATGAATTTGGCCGTAAGTTATCGTCCTATATCCATGAGACAGATCACGAATCATCATAGTAAAACTGCAGAAGAGGAGCCTAATGCCATACTTGATATGACAGTCCTGCTCACTACAGGCCGGTCTTCCGAGGCACTTGGCGACTATCTAGGCAGTGGAGTTCAAGTTAGCGAAAGGGTAGGTCTGGCGCATTCATACGGTGCCTTGTATTGAGGATCTGTCAATAGGGCATACAAAAGTGGGAGACGACAATGGTCGACGCGTTAACGAAATTACGTGACCTATCGGAGAAGAATATTGCTTCTGCCTGCCAGCGCCTGCACATTCTACTAGAGGAAGTCTTTGGATGGTCGCTGCTGTAAGCCCTCCATATGTTTTGAAATCGACGCATGTGGTGACATGCATTGTATTTAGGCCTCAGTATCACGCATGCGCAATCGACCCACCCGAAGTTGAAGCATGCATGCAGATGGCTGGCCGCGCGATTGTGCTCGCTGGATGGCTGGCCGCTACGTCGCGGGAAGAGCTGGGTCGTTTCAAGGAGTTCATTTCTTGGCTCAAATATGGTGAGCATTATCGATCATGTGTTTTTCACGGCACTAAGTGAGGTTCAGAGGTAGTGTGCGCCAGCACCCCGCTTGACGCTCAACGGCCACCCCCTAAGCACGACATCCTCGAGGTCAATGACTACCTAGCCTCGGGGTTGGTAGTAAGCCCGATCGACAAGTGGTTTACGGGTCCGATTCCCAAATTTTCCGTCCAGGACCTTGGTGTTCCAGCCACGCGGCAGGATTTAAATGCTGCGATGGAGCGCGCCCGCGACGCTCTGAAAGATCCGCAACGAGTAGCATGGTTGTCTGTAAGTCCGACCGCTACGCGTATACTTGGATTGATCAACGATCGACCGGTTCGTTCCCGACAGAATATCAAACATAGGGACCTAACGCATTTAGACCGAAATTTGGATGCGTTGATCCAGGAGCTGGCTGCACGCTGCCAGCGGATTTTTGTTGAAGCTGCTGGCGCTGCTACGCGCTCGTCACAGGTGCTGTCGGCAGGGAGTCTTATGCAGCTGCAAGACACGACGTTGCTGCATGCTGTGGCGTCAAAGCCTTCTCCTCTCATCCGAGAGCGGACCAAGGCGGACGACGGGCAGGTACGCGAGCGGCAGATTATGTGATATGGCACACTCAGCACTTGCTGTAGCCCGGGTTTTTCTTGCAGCACTTGCTGATCCAGACGCCGCAAGAAGAGGATCGCTCCCGTCGTGAGTCATCAGCGCAGGCTTTGGGCGGCTAGCAGGAATATGAATGCACCCCACAGTTTGCATAGCACGGATGCATCATGGCCCTCAGACGGGGACGAAATCGCTGGAGATTAGTGTTGCCGTGATGGAATGCAGCCTGGCAGACGAGGAAGGGGGCGGGGGGACGATACCGTTCAGGCTGCTTGATGCGCAGTTTTTCGACGACGCGGTTTTGATGGTTGTCTACCGTACCGAAGAAGAAGGTATGTGGAGACAAGTGAGATTTGGGGACTGGGAGCTCAACATGGATTAGGAGGTGCTTCTATCGCGAGTGTCGGCTACGCTGATTTGATGTACACGCGCGTTGAATTGGAGAAGTACGTAAGCGATTTTGCTAGGGAATCCCTGATGGCAGAAGTGATGGGGCAGCTGAGGGATGGGCGGGTATGTATGTGCGCTGGTCGATTCTGGCAGCTGGCTAACCGTCTCACGATCTGGTGCTAGCTGTCGGCGGTGCCTGCGCGGGTCATTCGGACACGGCCGTTGGCTGGGTGCAGAGAAGGGGGGGTGTCCCTGGCGGTGAACGGCCGGGTCGGCCGGAGGGTAGCGTGTGTGTTGGATGGGGCGGGGGTGGGGCTGGAGCTGCTGGATATAGAAGGGGAGGAGGAGGAGGAGGAGGAGGAGGAGGAAATGACCACTGCAGAGGGGTGATGCCCGCGGGAGCAGTAACCACAGGGATCCACCTGGGCACGCGTGTGGGGCATGGGCATGTAGAGTCGAGTATCATAGAAAAAGGCCAAGGCGGGGGAGGTCACATGTCACACGCCCGCTGTGCTGGACCCGGCTTTCGGTTTGGAGAGTCGGGACGCCGGACCTGGGGTCGAAAATGTGGATTAGGCTTGGTGATGGATGCGAAATAAGAGGAAAGATATGGGAGAGAGCGTGACCCGGCGGAAAATAGGAACGAGTCGCTGCCGCCCTCCTCCAGGCTCCTCGTGCCTCCGGCCCAGTTCCTTTTTCCATGCCATTTATTCTCCCCCTCCGATCCCCCCACCGCCCACTCTGATGCCCCCCAGTCCGTCGACGTCGCCCCCTCCCAAGACCGGCTCCGACGACTCTCCCAGCCGCATGTCGGAGGCCGCTCTCAGGAAAAAGAAAAATGCAGACGCACAGGCCGCCTTTCGGGCTCGCCGCGCCAACTACATCGCTACCCTCGAAGAAACAGGTTCGGCCTGCTCGGTCTTGTCGAGTCAGGGCCCATATTCACGGATCTTTCTTGACCTCTAGTCACCAACCTCGAAGCCGTCGTCATCGAGCTCCAGGACTCATGTCGGAAGGCAAAGCACGAAATCCAGGAGCTGCGCCAGGAGAATGCCCGTCTCAAGCAGGAGCTCAGGCAGCGCGATCGCACCCTCAAGCGCGTCTGGCAGGGCAGGTCCGTCGCCAGCCTCAGCCCCCAGTCCGACGATTTCTCCTCCGCGCCCCCATACCATCCCCACCCGTCCCCCAGCCTCGTCGCCGCGTCCATGGCAGGCTACACAGACAACCCCATGCGCTACGCTCCCCCACCTCCACCCGACCAGTCCATGGCCATGGCCACGTCCTTCCACCACTCTGCTGCCGGCACCGACTACATCCAACGCTCCCCCGCCTTGACCTTTGCGAGCTCCGTCGACACCGACACGTCCCCAGACCTCCGCTCGCAGCAGATGGATCCCCACAGGATGCCCCGATACGACCAGTACGCGTATCATATGGACCCCGCTCCCCGTGACACTCCTTGGATGCGCACAGACCCACAGAACGGCCCATCTCCTGGCGACGTCCTCGACAGCGGCAGCTCGTCCCACTCCCCAAACTACATCGAATCTCCTACTCTAACATCCTCCGAACTAGGCTATCCATCTCAGTTTCCCCTCGACGAGCAAAAGGTCTCTATCGCCGCGCTCAACAACTCTTATATGTTTTCCTCTAGTCGCTCCATATCCCCTGCCGTATCAACCCCCACCTCGACCTCATCCACCTCTCTCGCCCCCGTTCCATTCCCATTCACCTTCCCAGAAGGCACCGTAGCCCAAGACCGTCCCGAGTTTGGTTATCGCAGACACGGCCAAGCTCCCCAGCTCACATTGCACGGAGGCACCGCCGACATCTCAGTCGCCGCCTCAAGTCGAGACGTCGCCCGCTACCGTCCAAACATCCTCACAGATCCTCCTATCGCGCAGGCTTTATCCCGTGTAGATAACGGATCGGGCGGTCGCAATAGCGATGATAGCGAGGCGGCATCTTACACTTATTCCAGGTCACGCCAGCGCAGCGAGACTGGCTCAACACGCGCATCACGTTCTCCTTCGCCAGCGCCCCCGCCGTTGTGTGGCACCCTGGCAGTCATTAAAGCGCAAGCGTTTGGTGCCCTTCGACGGACCAGGACACGCAGTAGGAAGACCTCGGAGGGCGCCGCAAAGGCGGCTGTGCAGGCCTTGGAGGCCAGAGGCATCGGGATGGGGATCACGATAGGGGCGGGTTCGAAGCGGCCTCGGTTGCTCGTCGATGATGGGGACATGCAGGCATGATGAATACATACTAGATTCCAGCACACTCTGTACTAACAGCATGCGCTCTTTGGTCTTGGGACTTATGTAGATATACCATGCTTAGCACTCTTACTTATTGGCTATCGTGCTTCATTTACACTTCATGTAGGATACCAATTGTCTGTAATATACCGTTTCACTGATCCGCTTAGCAATGCGATGCATTTTATGACGCGCAAACGTTAGTTATAGCCCAAAGTGAACGTGCGGAAATGCCCTAGCGTGCAGTGACGATACATGACGCCGGTCACATCATGAATGGTCCTCCTCGCGCCGCAACACCAGGTAAATGAAAGCGGAAAATTGGACACGATATCAAGGTTCAAAACACGACGTTCACACCGATAACATGAACACGATACATTCTGATCGGGTCGTCAAATACATACACAGAAGCAGTCCTCGAGCGCTCCGTTCGCCGGCGTGACTGGAGCTTGTCCTTTCTTTGGAAATCGGCGGGTGGTACATACTGCCAAGCGAGCCCACAACGCATGGAAGAGCGCATTGAATCTCCCCTCGATACGCGGGTGAGGCAGAGTGTGACGAGAGGCAGCCTGATTGGGGGGGGAGGGGGGGGGAGCCCACACTTGGCAAATGTTCTGGACTGGCGCAAACCAATGCGAGCGCATCGCAGCTGATAAATCGTACCCCTGCGGCCTGAGACCCACAAATGCGTACGACTGGGGTGCACGGTCTGGTGCCGAGGACCGAGGGCGCGCTAATGCACCAGCCGTGCGCGCGATGGACCCTGCCGCATCAGCGCGCAGCCCCGGATCAGCCCACAATGGCAGAACAACGTGTGTGCAGCAATTTTGTACGGCCGCGCAAACCCCGCCCAAATACAAGGGCCGTGTTTAATCTAGGCAGGTCGATCATCGTGATTGTCCGCGGAACTCTGCGGGACGCTCCGTGTTGTGCACCTTGGGCACCGCCGGGTCCCAGGTGCCCCTGATCTCGCTAGAAGCAGTCAGCCTCGGTGCGCTGAAAGGCTGTAAGACGACACACTTCTTGTACTTCTGCGCCCAAACGAGAACCCCGGGCGCGACAAACGTCACAAAGGCCAGGGTGACTGCGATCAAGCACGTAGCGGTAAATGACAGTGAAGCCGCGGACAGGATAGAAGATGCGGACAGGACCGAGGTCAGAAGGACTTGTCCGGCTCTCGAGTCGCCCTGGAACAATAAGGATCAGTGTTAGTGTTCGTGAATCCAATAGGGTGACGCGGAAACCTGTAGGCGGCGGCGCAATATGGGGAAAAGCGCGAAGAGCTGAATCGAGAGCAGCATGAGAGCGAACACGGATATGTCATCAGGGAGCCGCGAAGCAAGGACGACCGCTGCTGATATGGCTGCGTTCATCGACAGGACCGAGGTTAGCCTGGCCACATCGAACCATACATTTGATATTAGTCCAAGCTGCGTGGGACATGGCGCAACTACTCGCCTCTCTCGATGGTAAGTCTCAGGGCGAAGGGCAGTGTAATCCGCCAGCAGTGCGTTCAAAATAAAGAGAGACGCGGATAACGCCCAGATAGAATCAGACGAGGTAGCAGCCGTTAACGTCTTCAAGACGGGGGACAGCGACATCAAGGCGAGGAACACCAGGATCGAGGATTTGATCGTTTTGGCTCCTGGATGCATAGTGTGAACACGAGGACCGAACGGAAATAGAGCAGCCTCCATACGTTGGGTACTGGTTGATGTCTTGTTATCAGAACAGTAGTCTAGGAGTTCCCACATCGCGTAGACCGCAATAAATCCGCATATCGACAACCATACGAGAACACGGGGGTCCAACAGCTGCTCGTTCAGGCGGACAAAGACAGCCAGGAACGTGAAAATAGTAGATAGGTGCTGATTGATGGCACAAGACGAAAATACCAGGCTCATATAAGTGTATGGTCTGAAGTTGGCTACATTGTGATAGCAAAAGGTCAACAAGGAAGATGTCAGGATGTATGCACGCTCACGATTTCTAGTGAGAGAGGACAGGAACGAGCTGGGAACGTAGTTATCAGGATAGACTTTCTTTTTCCAGAGGACTCTCTCCCAGTCGTCGTCCATCGCAGTCGATGCATCTTCTGGTACCGGGCATGGCATCTACTGACTGCTTCGTAGCGAGTTGCAGCTTGAGTGAGATACACTATAATTCTGAAGAGCGCGTATGGTGACCGTGACAATCGAACTGCCACACCTCGGTAGCGACCTGGCGGAATAATCAAACAGCTGCCGTTGCAGGCGGCTGCCGGCCACCTTCATACCGGGCTATTCAAAGTCATCCAGACCATCGCAGGGCTCGAAGGCGCATCTTTCAACTCTACTAAGGGCACGCTCACGGACAGCGGTATCTTACTCATTCGGCCGCTATGGCGCTTAGTGTCAGAACGAGCTGCAATTCATTTTGGATTCATCTCAACCCAAATCTGGCCGAAGGGCAACCTCGAGCACAGATAACGAGTGCATCGTGGTCCAACGGTAGCACGGGTGCAGAGTGGATACGGCCGGAAAGCAACATACATGCTACCGGGTGGCCAGCGACGAGTCCGCGACATTGCAAAAATGCGGAAATGAGCGTTTGAAGCTGCTGCTAGCGCCGTCGAGACCGGAAGGTCAAGTCGGAAGAAGGAATACAGCACGACTTCATTCACAGCGATCGCCATGCGTCATGCATCATGCACCATGACTTTGGCGATGCTGTCGGCATACCGCTTTAGCAACTAGTGAGTGAAGGCGTGTAACCTAGCGGTCTCGTACACAGGCCAGGGTCGCCTTCATGGTACAACGTGTGGGGTCGTGATGACGGGAGGCGACAACGAGCACGGAAAACATTCAAATCTGATTCCATGTCGGTGTATGACAGCACAGATGTGCTTCGCTAATCATTCAGTCCCACTGAACGTACAGAACGTTGAGCAAAAAGGCATTCCACGTTGCGATATGAACGCGATGGACTCACCACGAGTTGTTCTTCTTGTCTCGGCTCCGGGGCCCTGGGGGCTGTTTTCGACGCCTCCAGTTGTGCGGCCAACTTCCCTCGGTTGGGATTAGATCCCTGTGTTCCGCGTTTCTGCTCCTAAGAAGCATCATTCCGTTAGGGTGGGCAGATACCCAATTGTTTGAAAACATACAGCCTCTCTTCGTCGTTCAGCTGCCTCCGCAGCTGCGCTGCGAGGGTTAGGACGCCCTTGACTCGCTCGGGAGGCAGCGTTGGGAGCTTCCTGACTATCACCAAGGACAGTATGCCCTCCCGTGTGCGTATTAAGCTTCGAGCAAAATGAACCCATAGATAGACCGATGAGTCGCCCGGAAATGAATATTAATGAATGCTAGTAGCTGAGCGCCTTCGAGTCCAATAAGAGATGATCAAGAAAATGATTCAAGTATCAGACGACCTCGCCCAGATAAATGCTGGTTGCGGTCCGCGAAATAGAGCCTGGAGCCCGTCGGCTTAGTATCGCACGCGCGACCACATCCACCATGCACAATTGAGGGGTGCGGACAAGCGCTCAGGTGCTCACGTCCGTGTACCCTCTGTCCAAATTCGGAGCCATCGTCAATACAGAAATAATATTTGGATGCCACAGCGCCAGCAAAGAGGTTGGAACCAAGAACACAATTGATAAATACCCGAATATGTTACGAAAAACGAAAGATATGCTGTGTACAGGGTCCGTCACGGTTCTGGTGCGTTAGGGACACCTGCGTATTGATCCCGCCGATTCTCCTCTCCACCCCGGGACCAAAACCCACGCACGCGATTGCTCAGCTCCAGCCGGATGTCTTCAGGCTGCGTCTGCGGAACCCACGCCTTTCAAGTCGAGTGGTCAGCGCCAGATGGCGAAATCGAATACACAATCAGTCCCTACCTCCCACCATCTGCGGCTTGCACCCCAGGAGATGTTGGTATCAAGTCCGGCCTTGATCATTCGGCCCTTGATACCTGCACCAAGAAGCAGGCCAAAGACAGTTAGCAAGAAGAGTGTGACTACAAGCTGATCTCGGGGAGAATCTCGTTCTGCGTGCGGCACACGAAGGTCAGTGTGGAAGGAAGAGCCACACCACCAAGAAGAAGTGACTCACGGAAACAGCGTGCTTCGACATCACCTTCTTTCCCTGTTGCTGTATCTGGATTTGCAACCCCCAAGGAAGCTCCAGCACATATAGGTAGATTCTGGTTTAAACACCACTGTTTGGTACATGAGAGACACGGCTGGTCGGGGTTATCTGGGATTTCCATATGAAGGATCGTATAGTTCGACCCAAAACAGATGCCTGGACTATCGTTCAGTATTCGGATGTCTCAGAGGCCAGATGACACATACATTTGCAGAAGTCGGTGGCTTCCCATTTGTGCCCTAAGATGGCGTTGGCACACAACTACGCTTCTTGAGGTTACCTGACTCCTGTTGATCACGGAAAAGAGAAATGCTTACCGAGAAAGACAGGAGGAGCAAGACATACAGCTGGTGGTGGGCGGTCATGAAGTTGCGGCAACGACCACGTAAGACGCGCGAGCAGTCTGATCGACGCGACGCGTCTTTCACTCTCGTCTCCTTGAGCTTGTCCCATCTCTTTTGCTCGCCGCGCTCCGCGACAATTGACCAACTACTACACTAGCAGCGACCATCCGCCATGTCTACCGAATTTGAGGACGTCCTCACAAATCAGCCTGTTGTCATTGACAATGTTCGTCTGGAGGGAACACTTTGTCTGAACGTGCTCAGACTGACTTTTGGGTACGCTGTAGGGTTCGGGCACCATCAAAGCTGGGTTTGCGGGGCAAGACCATCCGAAATGCTTCTTCCCGTCTTTGTGCGTCTTCACGGTTAGGGCCTCCCTCACCGCTTATGCGCATTCGCTGATCGCCCCGTGGTTCACCGTAGTGTCGGCCGGCCAAAGCATATACGCGTCATGGCAGGCGCATTGGAAGGGGATGTGTTCATCGGCCGGAAAGCGCAAGAATTTCGCGGTTTGCTCAAGATCAAATATCCTATGGAGCACGGCATTGTGACTGACTGGGATGATATGGAGCGGATATGGAGCTGGGTTTACGCTGAGGAGCTCGGAACGTTGAGCGAAGAAGTGCGTCGCTTTTATGCTATTATTATCCGAATCTCATCTGCTTCAGCATCCTGTATTATTGACTGAAGCTCCTCTCAATCCTCGGCATAACCGAGACGTTGCGGCCCAAATCTTTTTCGACACATTTAATGTGCCTGCGCTATTTATTTCTGTTCAGGCTGTACTATCGCTGTGAGTGCAAGCTATTGATATGTTTGTGCGTGGCATTGAACAAGCTGAAACACTATAGATACTCGTCCGGACGAACCACAGGTATCGTCCTGGACTCCGGAGATGGTGTAACACATGCTGTTCCTGTATTTGAAGGATTCTCCATGCCTCATGCCATTCGCCGTGTAGATGTTGCAGGGAGGTATGCATGATCTATCTTGAGCCCTGTGGACTGCCGCTGATGTGCAGGAGCTAGAGATGTGACAGACCACCTGCAACTACTGCTTCGAAAATCAGGTCACCACCTCCACACTACTGCAGAGCGAGAAGTTGTAAGAACTATAAAGGAGAAATGTTGTTATGTTGCGCTTAATCCCGCAAAGGAAGAGAAGGATTCGCTCGGAAGGGGTGAAGAGTTCCGCTTACCTGATGGGAATACAGTACAGGTACGATCGATAGGCATCATGTCCTTCAACAAACAGCTGAGAGTCTCCGTAGCTCGCTTCTGAGCGATTTCGTGCACCAGAGATCCTCTTTAACCCAGAGCTCATTGGCCAAGAATATGCTGGTGTACACCAAGTGGTTGTGGACGCCATCAACCGGGTTGACTTGGATTTGCGCAAGAGCTTGTTCTCGAACATCGTTCTTAGTGGTGGCAGCACGCTGTGCCGAGGTACGCCCACAAACACATGACATCGCTTCTGCTGCTGGATGCCTGTCCAGGTTTTGGCGATCGCTTGCTGAATGAAGTGAAGAAGCTAGCTTTGAAAGATGTAAAGATCAAGATCTATGCACCCCCGGAACGGAAGTACTCTACCTGGATTGGAGGATCGATTCTGGCGGGCCTCAATACCTTCAAGAAGGTATGTTCACGATGCAGTTCCTCAGAGGTTTACCATTCAAATACCCCATTTTTAGATGTGGGTGTCGGCCGAAGAGTACCAAGAGGATCCGGATATCATTCACAGAAAATTGGGCTTTTAGAGTCATCTTGGTTGTCATATCTACTTAGCTTTCTTCACCGCACTCTATTCGTAGACAGTATTCTAGCAAGACGTCGCATATGATACCCCTCATATAGTATTTGGGCATAATGACACCAGGTGCTTAACTTATCTGCTCGTCAGGGATTTAGATCGTCTAATTGCAACTGCACGGCTCCGAAGCCAACAAACCGACACAACAGCTAGGTATCAGCTAGTGTAGGGGAGTATGAGGAACCATGGAATCCACATGCGCATAATATTCATGAGCAAGTATGAGTGACAGGCATACGCGATAGGATACAGTCATGGACAGCTTTTGCGAAAGGTAGGTGAATAAGCAATGCAAAAGACGACAAAAGCCGGAATGATATACAGCGCGCCCAACCCCTACTTGCCCTTCTTGGGAGGCTCGTTGGCCTTGGACTTTTTCGTGCCGCGGAGCTATAGGCAGAATGGGTCAGACGTTGATACAGGTAATACGGCGAATACATACCTTCTTCGCGCGGTTCTTCCGCTCCTTCCGTAGCTTACGATTCGTCTTTGTTGGCGCTTTGGTAAGGCCCGCCTGCAGAGAATTACTCGCGTCAGAACATGCAACGAATTTACATGAAACCACGTACCCGAATCAATCGGTACTTGGGCTCAAACTTTCTCTGCGACGCCTCATCATCGTAGATCAGCGCAAAGCCCGTGCTCCGTCCACCACCAAAGTGTGTCCGGAAGCCGAAGGTGATCACACGTTCCTTTTCGGCTTTGTAGATTTTGGCGAGCTGCTCAGAGAGCTCGGCCTTGGAGACATTCGCGCGCGATGGGTGGAGGACGTCCACGACGAACTGGCGCCGAGCGAGAAGACGGTTGGTGATGAACTTGCGTGTCCGGATGGTGATGGGTGCTGCTGAATCGGCCTAAAGGACGGTCAGCTATGCATTCGTCCACCCGAGCGCGTATCCAGTCAACACAACAACCATCCACCGTCTTCCTCTTGAAATTTCGCGACCAGGTTACTCGCAGAGCTCTGGGGCGATCAAAAGATTCAATGAGACGGTGACTCACCATGGTTAGTATCCCCCGCCTTGCAGAATTGCGTTACCTTGGGCGTCGGCTGGGGCGTTGAGGACCTCTCTTGCGAAGCGAGTGGGATGGAGCCAAACATGTACCAACATCTCGGTGGCTGATCGACCCAGCGCCTATGCCGTCTAAGCGCAGTCTGAGTCCAGACGACTCAAGACTTCAGTGCTGCAGCATATTTATTCTAGTCCAAGTCTCTTGCTTGCATACCTTTCGCGCTATGAGTAGAACCAATTTTGCTTCGTCGTTTGCGCCTTACGTGAGTGGTCCGATGCTCCCACAATGCCCTCCTTCATCGGTACGCAGACACCTCCCCCCGACGATCCGTCGTATGCCGCCTCAAGTTCCAAGACCACCCCTCGCCCTTGGTTCCCGAGACCACCATCGCTGCAGCCCACTTCATATCAATCAGGGGCTATTCCTACTTTCAATACCTCACAGGCAGGTGGACAGGGTGCCGTAGACGAGGCTGAGGCCGAGGCCGGCGCAAACATGTGGGAGACGCGGTATGGTCTGCGAGTGGACATGTTGGCCGCATCTGCGTACTTGTTGGGGCCAATATCTGGTGCGTTCCTCGCCGGTGCACTACATATAGATCCGACCCATATTGACTCGCGTATAAAGCTTTAGTGCTGCTCATTACAGAAACCCACAACGACTTCGTGCGTTTTCATGGTCAGTGACCTGCTTTTCGAAACATGGCTAATAAGCTCAACTTATGGGATGGATAGCATACCAGTCGGCATTGCTATCTACACCGCTAGTCTTACTACGCATATTGGCTGCGCTTTCACGATTCCCATCCCTCTTGTGCACGTTGCTTACTCTCTTCATCGTCCCGTGTCTACTTTACATGGCGTGAGTGATTCCTTGTTACCCCAAATTCTATCTAATGCTATTTCCCAGATGGCGAGCATATATCGATGCAACCCGTAACGGTCTGGTGCGATTCCAGCTACCATGGGTTGGTCCAATAGCAGACCAGTGGGTATCTGAAGAGTAACATGTTTTTCATCATTGCTGTGATCGCCGACTGGCCTCAGTAATTGTGCTATCTCATACCCTTACTGCCAGCGAATGCAATATTGCTTATGCGTCTACTTACTTTCTTCAGCATAATGTCGTGGAGTTGGACAAATGACAGGCGTATCTACGACCTGAAGATCATCCCCTTACACATTATCCCTTCGTTACTAAGATCGGAAATAGATTGTTAGTCATGCATGCAACTCGAAGGCAATGAAAGTCCGATACACAACGATGCAGGAAACTACCGATACACATCAGGGACCAGCCCATTTGGATACAATGGTCATGTAGAAATCAAATCGTTACAAAATCGTCGAAGAAAAAAAAAGACCCTGCAAATGCGGTCACAGTAAACATAGACCAGCAATCTGAATCCCAGCGGTGCAAGCGGTTTGAGTAGCTTGTATACCAAGTGCTTGCAAAAGAGGGAGTAAGTCATTGATAAGGGCATCCGTGAGGTTTTCGACGATATCCAAAGTGTCGTCAATGATGCATTTGATGTCGTAAATAACTGGCGACAAATCTTTAGTCGGGGACAGCCAAAAAGAAAGTATGAGACAGCCTACTCGGCGCGAGTAAGGGACCAATGCCAGGAATGCTATCGACAACATCCACCGTATCGTTCAGAGTATACTTGACAGAATTGACGATATCTTTTATTAATGTCTCTAGCTCGACCTGCCGGTCGTAGTCGGCCAATCCCTTGTCGGTAGCAAGTGCGGCGAGAACGTTCTGAACGTTAAGGAGGTTGGCTTGGAAACCCGACAATGCAGTAGCGTATTGCTGGCTATAACCAGGAGCAGTTCGATCAGACGACGCGAGGTTGTCTGCAAAAATAGTTAAACGCCATTACAACGATGAATGACGAGCATCATTGACTTACTGATGACCTGCGCATTCTGATTAAGCTGGGTATAGGAAGAGGACAACAAGTTCATATTGTCCAGAATGCTGGTGCCGACATCGCGTTCGTGCACGAGAGGAACATCATCTCTAGGACCATGATTAATAGCGCTGTGCCAAGAAAGTCCAGAAACTGTAGAGTTGCCAACAGAGTGAGACCTAGCTTCCTGAGACCGCAGAGCAACGCCTGACGTCTGAACAGTATCGGCGAAGACTCTTCTGAAGGGCATGGGAACGGGCAAAGGGGATGCAAGACTGGCTCTTGGCATAAGCGAGACACCCAGAAAGGCTACCAGAGCAAAGACCTGAATCGCAGTGAAGATTGCGCGATAGAGTGAAGGCATTTTGAGGATATCCCAAAGGCAGCAGATGTCTCGAATGGGTAATTGGCGACTAGCGCGTCGGGAGACAAGACAAGACTGAACCAGCGGACGGGGGGCAGGAGTCGAGGCAACGTTGAAGGCAAGACGCAACACACGAATGTTGAACATTCGGACGCCTCTTATACCGCAAACGCGACAGAACCTTGTTTGATGGCTCGAGGCAATTCCAGCAACCCCATTGGCTCTCCATCGCAACGCGATCACGTGCACGCGACAACTCTGGGGCGCAAATTGGCTGTTTTAAGATCTTTAATCCTCAATCCCGATGCAGAGTCGATTAAACGCGTAGGCGAGCACAACATTACGCAGCCAGTAGAACTACCAAGTACGTGAGCATCCTTCTGCTAAAAGTCAGATAGGCATATGGTAGAAGCGAGAGCCATAATAGAAGTTGTACAGGCCGACGCAGGGTATCTAAACGATAGTCATTGAAGAGAATGTGGGTGGAGGTTAAGTGAGTCTAAGATTGTTCAGATGGAACATAGTCCTAACGGGAAAGCTTTTCGATTCTCGCATGTCCGGAAGGGCAACAATGCCTAAAGCTGGTGGCACGATTGGCCATCAGCAGAGAGCTTATAACCTTGGGCACAGGTATAAACTGCAGCGACGTGTGAGTTATTTAAATCATGATAGGCCCGAAAAGCAAATCTCACTTTCGCAACGTCCTTGGTTACAGCCAACATTCCACCCTCCTTCGATTGCCGTACAGTCCTGACCTGCACCAGTCGATGCACAACCACCACAAGAGGTGAGCTCTGCGGTAGTATCGAGGCACTCGTAGTCACCACTGGGACCCATCAAGCCATTGGAAGGGCAAGCTTCCATATTGTTTGGGCAGAGCGGAGCAGCGCGGGACTTGAGATGGCGCTTCCAGTGGCTGCTACCGCCACCC